TCGGGATACGCCCAGAGTCACGGAACGGATTAAGTTCGTATCCCGAGGTACCACTGTAAATCTTAAAATTGGAATTTCAACCTGAAATATTTTGATTAAATTTTACTAAACCATATAGTAAACCATATATTCCTTCAAAGTATGCCAAATTAGCTTTGTACAGGAGAATTGCTGCAAGGATAATATATACTTTTCCTTAGAAAGGATGTTTGATCCTGTCTATTGAAGAATGGCTAACCAAGTTGTGGGAGTATATTTAATACCAGACTAACTTCATATCTTAAAAGTAAATCTAACACAGAACTTAATTCAAACTGTAAACCATTTCTAGATTACAGTTTAATACATGGATTTGTATCTCATCCAAAATTTGGGTTTCTTTATGCATAAAATTTCAATTTTATAGGATTTCTAATTTAGAGCAGATTTTTAGTAATATCGATAGGTAGAATTTATTTTCATTCATAATTTTGTGATTTATGTTATGCTGACCATGGTTCTTGATACTGATGCTCGATTCAGACTTAATAGCAATTTGTATGATTCAGTTATTCACAGTTAATCATATACTGTAAACTTATAACCTCCATGATATTTGTAAATCCCTTGTTTATTCATTTATATTTTTTGTTTCATCTCTTTTCTTTGTTCTTTTTCTTTGTTGTGTATATACTTACTTTGAAATGTCTAACAAATATATATATTAAAAAACTTCAGCTGATTTAAGCAGAGTAGGAGTCTAGCTGAAATTATCCATGAGCATTAACACCAACTACCGTTATAAATGTGGGAGATTATCTAATAATAATGTCAAAATGCTATTTTAACAAGGTCAGAATGTATTCAAACTACAGGTAAGCAATATTTTATTAAAAACATACATAGTAAAGTAGCATACATGCAAACTAACCTTATGAACTAGAGAATCTAGTTTTGTTTGGCACCTGGAAACCTCCTCAATATTTTCTTCTGCCACTTCTGCTTTTGGTACTCTCTCATTTTCAAAATCATATTGATTCACTTGCTGCAATTTTAATCATTTGTTAATATTTCTACTATTGATCAGCGTAGCTGCTTCATTTTGATTATTTCTACAAAAATATACAGGTAGATATCAAAGACAGATATCAATAAAAGTTTATATTGATTTCAGTTGAATATGTGAACCAAAAATTGATCACCAAACCAACGTAGGTTAAATAACTTGGCACATTACGATCATATTGAGATGTGTTCTATCTCTGATTACGGTTTTGACCATCCTCCACAGTTCGCTGATGTTCAAAAGTTTTATTTATTTTTATTTATTTATTTAGTGGACTTGTCCCTGCCCATCTCCTCACAAAAGTTCTACACAGCCAGGAACTGTGCAATATTTTTTCTCCCGATAGCAGGGACAACTGTATGCATTTGAATGGGGTGTGACTAATGTATAGAGAGGCTGCTCAGAATGATCGTATGTACAGAAATGTTTCTGTCTACATAGAATGTTAAGTAAGGGCATTAATGTACCCATGATTTATGAGGCCAGAGCTAATTTCGTTTTTTAAAAATAGAAATGGAAGCCTTCAACATCAACTGAACATTAATTTCTTCGGATCCTCTTTTTTTGTATTATTCTGTGGATTCTTAGGACCCTTAAAACTGTTTTTTGATGGAAACATCAAAGCTCTACTTTAAGTTCATGAATTTGATGACTATGTGCCTGAAAAAAAAAGAAAAAAGAGGAAGCATTCCAGGTATCTCACTTACATAAGGTAAACAGTTCCTAACCTTAACCCTAAAGAAATGACTGAACAGCACCTTGAATATGCAGAGTAAAAAAAGAATATCTGCACACTTACTTTATCAGGCTTTCTCATTGTTCCTGACGCTGCATCATAATTCAGCATGTCTGTTGGATCAATCCAATCATCATGCTGAGCTTCACTCCTTCCTATCAGCAGGACTGCACACAGGAGCAAATAAACTAGCATCCTCTGTCACGAAGCACAACGGATGATTTTAGTAAAATGCAAGATTGTCAGGGCAAACTCAACCATCTAGTGCTCAATATTCTCCAGGTCACTGAATTGTCTGGCTACAACAAGCTATCTTCCAGCATCACATGACCTAACCTCTGCTCAAACGAGTACTTATTTACACAAACTATCTTGGTTTCATCCTTTTGGCAAATGTGGGAGGCTGAACAGGGAAGAATCCACCCCCTACTCATTTCCATAATGCTGATGAATGAATAACACTTCTACATCACACAACCCCATATTTGGTTTCTCTAGTTAAAAGGAAAATGATTAAACATTTTTCATTTTCATGATAAATTAGTATCCTGAATTAATTTAAATAGCTTAGGGTAGAATACATCCTTTATTTAAATCATGCAAAGCCAACCACAACAATTAGAAGAAAAAGAACAGAGGAGAGTTTGTTCCCTTTTCCCCTGTAATAACTATTACTTTCTATCAGTAAAATAATTATAATCTGCTGGACTAGATGCATTAGCATAAGTAAGGTTTGTGCTTATTGTTTCATCATCTGTTATCTGTAATTAAGCTTACAAAGTAAACTTCTCAGAATAGAGCTTGTGGGGGACTTTAGAACAGAAGTTCCAACTCCTGAGAGTTTTCTGTGTGATGCAATAATGATAACAGCCATGTTTTCTTCTCTGCTAAATTGTATAGATGAGCCTGGCTATTCAGTAGGAAAAAAAAAAAGATAAAATCATACCACTTTCAAAGAATTGTTAAAAATCCTGTTTCTGCTATGACTATAAAATAAGAAAATAAAACCATTACCTATGTGTACCGTGACCTTATTTTCTTGGAAAAAATAAAGGACAAACCTGAAAAGGGGCAAATCTGAAACAGGTTCATAAGGATAAAAAAAACAATTGTCTATGTTTATAACTTTGCTTTACCAAGTAAATTCAAGAGCAAAACCAAGAAAATAAATAATTCAATTAAATAAATCTAAAGGACAGCTTTCTGAAATAAAGGACTGTCCTTTATAATAAAGGACGTATGGTCACTGTACCTATGTGGCATAAAGACAAAGAAACCAATATACAGATGAATGCTATGGATAAATCTTTTCAGGTTGCAGTAACAGGTATCCCAAAATTGTAAAACTATGAACATTCCAAGTGGAACACAGAAGAGAATTTATGAAAGTTTTCCCCAATCTGGTACCTTCCGGGTAGGTTGGAGTACAGTATATTTCTCATCATCCCCAGCCAGTCCTGCCCTTGTTCACAGGACACCATAGAAGTTCTATTCTCCCCAGAAGAGCCCCAAGTTGGGATAGATAAAGAGGGAAAATGAGTAATGCAATCTCATGTGCATACAGGAAGTTCTCATTTGGTGACCACAACTGGGACCAGTGACTCAGTTGTTAAAAGAAGCAGTTGCTAAGTGAAGCCACGACTGTGCTTACAATCTTATTTCAGCTTTCCTTTGCTTTATAGAGCCACAAAGGTCATAAATGTGAGGATTGGTTGTAGTTACTTTTTCATCTGTGAACGGTCACTAAATGAGGCAGGCACTAAATGAGGACTACCTGTATAAGACACCCAGTTTCAAGTCAACCCTCAGCCATGGAAAGTTCACTGGGTGACCTCGCCAGTCAATTCTCTCAGCCATAACTACTCACAGGGTGGTTGTATAGAAATACAGGCGGAAGGAGTGCTACATACACCACCTTGAGCTCCTGAATGAAAGGCAAGATACAAACCTAATCAATGAATAGATGAATGCATTTATAGAACATTCATGGTACTTGAACACAAATCAAACAATGCATCTATGTAACAGGATTCTAGACATAATCTTGTGTCAAAGGAATGTACACCTTGTCCTTTTCCTTATTAGGATGAATTGAAGCCATAGATATAAATGGAGAGGGTAAAGCTGCCCTGGGAAAGGAGATTGTGGGGAGGGGATGCCGGTACCACAGGGAATGCAGCATGTGTAACTGCAGATTAGGCTGTAGATCCTCCGCCCATTACTCCACACAAAATCATACGAATCCCCGAGGCCGACTGCACGCTTGCAAGCACTGTGTCTGCCACGCGCACAGGCTCGTTTTAAGAGTGCGAACCCCTTTACCGGGCGGAAACCCGCGCTGACAATCCCCCGCAAGAAATGTTTTTCCCAAAGAACGCGCATAGACAGACACGCACGCGCACACGCAAAAGGGGAAGTGGCGGGGAGTGGCAACCTCACTTGGGGAGGCGCCCCCACGCCGGGCAGGGGGCCTCCGACCCCACTTCTTCCTCTCCCCGCCCCCGCCCTCGCCCTCACCCTCACCCTGCCCAGCTCCCTCGCCGTTTCTTTCCGCCACTGTTTCTTTCCGCCCATTCACCAAAAAGCTTCTGCCTTGGGTGGGACGGAGGGAAGGAAGGAACGCCGCGCCGCGCCCCAGCCGCCCGCCGCGTTGGGTCGTCTGAAACGCTGAGCCTGATGTTGATACCTAGCATTGCATTTCGGGAAATCTAACATGGCCGGCAGCGGAGACGGGAGGGCGTTGAGCAAAACTTCGGGTTATCTGAATTTTTCTGCGCTGGGTCCAAAGCTGAGACTGAACAAGACAGAGAAATCTGCAGCCAGCCGGGAAGACGAGTCTGTGGTCTCCATCCTGTGATGGTTGCCTGCGACCTCGCTTTGGAGTCCTGAGTGGGAGTTGCTACCTGGCTGATACTTGAAAGATGGCACTGGGGAAAGCTAAACGTCAGGCGGGGAAAACGGAATATTTTGCTTTACTATGCTTTTGCCACGAGAACGTATCCCTTTAAGAGGCTTTTAGGATTACGGCACATTTCCGGGTTCCACAGGGCGCTTATTTTAACCTTTATTGCTGAAATGGTTTGCGCCCAAATTAGCTAAAAGGCTTTCTTCTTCCATACTGTACATATCTACCTGAACTTAGGGTCTGTTTCAAAGGATCTACTTAAAGTAGACATGTTTGTTAAGTATAGAACTACCAAAAATAAGTCTTTTGATAAGGCACACCAGTTAAATCACATCTTCCCTGGAGTTTCATCTGGGGTGATTTCTGGCCACTTTAGTACCAGGTAAAGATCTTTCTGTTCACCAGGAATTTTGATGGAATTAGTTTTAAAAATCAGTATTTTTAAATTGGGGGCTGCTGTGAATTTTGTGTATTTTATGTTTGGTATCTAAATTTATGTGGGATTTGTTTATTGTAAGATGCCAAAAAACACTTTGTGTTACCAGGCAAAATACAAATGTAATTATTCATAATTTTAAAAAGTAGGTTTTTGACAAAGTAGTTAGAGAATTGAATTTATCTGCTTAAGGGATGTAAATTCATTTAATGTGTTAATATGTAATACTATGAAATCTACAGTAGCTCTTATTTTCTCCCAGTTAATCTGAGGTAGGCTGTGGAGATACTGATGAAAATACCTGAAGGCACTTTTGGGATGTGTGGGACAAAATTCTGAAAATCTGTCTATGAGTGGGGAAGCTGAATGGAGGTGTGAAGCTGATCTTAAATGATCAGAGCATATAGTATCTGTTTGGAACCAGTTACACTAGTTGGTCATACATTTTGGAGATCATGATCACCTATAGAATCACTGGTTCTTGAAGAAATATTCCTGAAAAAAAAGACATAGCCTTTTCTGTTTTGCTCCTAGCCTTATGGAGTGTTAATCCACAGGTTGCATGCAAGATTCCTTCCCTTTTTTATTTTTATTTTTTTGGTGCCTCTGAGCCAGAGTTGACCCCTGGTGACTGCTTGGACAAGTTCCTGCAGTTTTCTTGGCAAGATTTTCATAAGTGGTTTCCCATCGCCTGCTTCCTAAGGGCTGAGAAAGAGTGACTGGCCTAAGGTCACCCAGCTGGCTTTGTGCCTCAAGCAGGACTAGAATTCATGGTCTCCTTCTAGCCTGGTGTCTTAACCACTACACCAAACTGGCTGTTTTTAATATAGGTGTTAAGAAATTTAGGTGTTTGGAGAGCTTTTAAATGAATAGATGCCCATCTTTACTTTACAGGTGGGCTTTATATTGCTGCTGTTATTTTAAAGCTTTATTCTGCTGTTTCAGTTATAATATATACTTGTGGATAAGCTGAGAATTTTAGGTGCCAAAGTGCACCTTAAAAAATTAGGTTCGGCTTATCCACAGATGGGCTTATCCGTAAGTGTATACAGTAATGCTTTTTTAAAAGTACCCAGATTTCCTGTGTATGGATAAGCCCATCCATGAATAAGCAGACACTTGAATTTTTACCCAAAATACCATAAAAAATTAGGCTTGGTTTATCTGCAGGAGGCACATTCTTCATGGTATTTTGGTTAAAAATGTAAGGGTCGCCTTATCCGTGGATGGGCTTATACAGGAATATATACAGTAGCTATTTCCATATGAAGGAAGAAAAAAGAAAATAGTATGTAGCTTCACTTTCAGGTGTCAAAATCTTTATTGAATTTAAGTACATATACACTTCTATAGTAACCTCAGGTTTTTTATGACAGTTAAAAAGGTCTTGCTACAGTGCACGGCATATATTAATTAGAACCAAACCTTAAATTGTACTTCAAATAAATAATCCAAATATTTAAGAATTTAATTTAAAAGCAATATAACTGTACAATATGAAAATATAAAACAATACATGAACATAATACTCTAAAGATAGAAATAAAATTGCAACTATATTATATAGACAGTGCAAGAAATTAAAAAATCCAAATAAGCTTCTGAACTGGGAAATAATTTAGTTTTACATTATCATGCAGACATAGCATTTCAAGCCATGCTATTGCCTTTAAAATTTGTATGGTATTCTATATATACACAGGGGGAAAACTGTGTTTGTAACCAGAGGATATTTTGAAGCATTTTACTACAGTGTTTTGCAATGCTGAGGAATGGGCAATTTAATATATTAAAATTTTCAACAATGCAATTAGTAATTATAGCAACTTCAGAAAAATTCCTAACTGCATACACAATATTCTCACATATGTGCCTCAAGATCTGTAGGATCGTAGCCAATGATATCAAAATAATTGTACCAATCACACCTAATAGTGCGCTTGCTTTCCTACAATACATTACACAGAGGTATTTTGTTGCATTCGCATTAAGTAATGTTAATGTCTCTTCACACCAATGTTTTTTTCCACCAAAAGCTTAAGTGTTGAACATAATCTAACAAAATACAGTCTCAAACTGAAAATCATTCCATATATCTATATCTACAGATAGATACTGTGATCAATAGTCAACCCCTCTTTAACCATCTTTAGAATTCATAATTATACATACTAAACCAAAACACGAAACTTTGATGGGTAAGGTTTTGGACCACTAATTAAGATAGATGTAAACAACATTGTAGAGCATGGCATAACAAGACTTATTTGTGTGGATGTTATGATATTGCATGTGAATTTCACTGAACTATAGTTCAATCTGAATTTCAAAAAAATATTGTCACCGAGGCAAAGACCAGGGAATGCAATTAACACTAAACTGTAAACACATAATTAAACTTTTGGAGTGCACATTGACTTTGCAAGAGCTCTTTTAACAAATTTCAGCAACAAGACTACAGTAGGTCATAGCAGCATGAGATCACATGGAAAGCACTGAAAAATAATAATCCACACCAACACACCAACATCTCATAGCAATCAAATTTCTGTGGGACACATTTCTCCTGCTCAAATGCTGCTTTTCTTATGGACATTCCAGTTGTCTCGTGTGTCTGTGCTGTATTGATATAGATTGCATTTAGCCATTATAACTCCAGAGTTTGACAGTTCTGTCAGCAGAAGATGACAAGAAGGAAAGATCCTGTGTATGCCATCTGCATTGAATCACTTTGTCCTTATGTTCTCCTACTACCATAGTTGGTAGCTGCTTGGTAAGGTCACCTATGAAAAATAATTAGAATAATTATTGCTTACATGATGTCTGCATGGCACTGCTATTTACTTTATCTTTGCATGCAGATTGTATTTTTTTAGTTCAAGAATTTTAAACTACTGAGAAACAGTTCAGGTGGATTATGCTTCTGAATGCTCATTTCATCTGTTACAGAACAAGTAATACTATATCTGGCTCTTCAGAAATAAGTAAACTATACTATTTATACCTACATACACATTACTTTTCTTTTTTTTCAATCCCAGATGTTTACCATCAAATTATCAAAAATACAATAGAATACCATTAAATTACATTTAAAATTATATATTATATAATTAATTCAATAATTTATATAACATTTAATACTATGTTCCACACTTTTTAAAAATTAATAATTTTTTATACTGCATAGTATTGAAGATAAAGGGAAATATAAATAAAATCTTTTAATTGTTATAGAAACTGTCCGTACCTGGAACCTACTTTATCTTACTGGGGAGTTTATTCTACATAGATGAACTGGAATCCAAACCTTTTCAGATATTACTACAATTATACTACTGAGTTCTGGAAATTATAGAAGACTAATATAGTTTACTATAATGCCATATCATATTCTATATAAGAACCAGAGTTAGATAAATTTCTCTTCCCAGAAATGTATGAAGTTGACCTGAAGACGGGTTGGGTGGTGAGCATTCTTGCTATTCAGAAATAATTCAGAAGTAAAATTACCTTGCAGGTCTGTGACTTTTATTTTCATGTCATATGATCCTGTGAGAAGGTAATGAGCCCCAGGGGAGAAGCGAACAGAACGGACATCACTGGAATGAGGATGATAACTCTGAACCATTCGCCCACCACGAATATCATAGAGCATACAACTGGAATCTTCCTGTCCAGTAGCTAGAAGACGACCGCTAGGATCTACAGCTACGGATGCGACAGCACTGCCTGAAGAAAACCCCCCCCATTATATACTGTAACCCTGGTTTCAAATCAAGATTTTTATGTAGATTTTCTAAAATACTAGACAAAACACAGCCAAACACATTTACAGACAATCATATTGGTATTAACATAGGATCAATTGTACAATAATGTAAGGAGATTTGATTCTGTCTTTGCAGGTCTGATGAACTTGGGAGCCCTTGACTGTCTGATCTGAGGATGCTAAACGTACTTGTCAATAAAAGGATATATTAGTAAATGTTTTAAACAAGTTATTCTATATATTTTAAAAAAGGTCCATACAATATGAGATTTGAACACTGGCCATTAAATACACAATTTACAAAATAAGCATTCTGTAGAATTATTTCATATGTCCTTCTGATAATAGTGTAAGATGTCTAACAAAAGATTCCTAGTATTTGCTCAAGTT